ATGGTCCCAGGGACCTCTGCTCCTAGACTGAAAAGTTAATCACTCCCCTCCTTGCTATAAAACGCCACCCTTTACGTTTCTAACCCTCACAATCAGTCCTGACAACAGTTATTCACTATTGTATCACAAGAGACCTATCTGCATTTCATTTCATCAGCCCTGCCTAGACAGATTGGATACTTACTCAGTGGAGATTCTACCTTCCTCCATGCCCTCTGGACCTAGATTCCCTCTTGAAAGCTTGTAAGCCAGTCACTTCTTGCCTTTGTAACCCCACCTCCCCCCCACCCCCACCACTTTGGGTAGCTAAGGTCAAAGTTGCCCATCCCTGTCTACTCTGTGTAGAGGGGCTGGGAATGATCCTTGCTGTAAAGATTTGTTCCCTCTTTTGAGCTACTGCATCCATTGGTGTAGGTAAAGTTCATCAAATTGTATCAGATTACTCTTTTTTTTTCCTCTTCTTCTTCTAGTTGAGCTCTGATCATCCAGTCATTGAAGTCAAGTCAAGTTGGTATTATCTGCAGGTGTGGGTGTTCTTGTACATATGCCCTCTCTTCTTATCAGCTGGACACTTCACTCTCCACTCTAGTCCTCTGTGGCTATGCATTTTTATTTCAATAGTATTTTCTTCGTTAATTAAAAAAAAAAAGTCTCTATTTCCATGCAGAAACATTTTTTCGTCACTTAGTTGCACATGATGAGGTCTAGGTAAAAAAGAAATATATCACATCCAATATTCCTATGAACCTATCAAAAAAGGACATATACATAGTACACTTAAAAATGAAAGGGACAATTACATATTTAGGCCTGTGCATTATGGATAAGGACATAATTAAACTTAAATGAGATCTGAGAATTTAGCTTCCTCCTTAGTCCAAGAGCCCTATCATTCATGAAAGTCATCCAACTATTACATGAATACAGTTGATGATTGGTAATTCATTATATTATCAGGTGATCGGATTAATTGCTGGGCAGTTTATGTGCAATTTGAGAAGAGACTAAAATTTCTTATTCAATAGGAAAAGATAATTTGCTTGCTAAATCTATGAAGATGATGGTATTTAAAAACTTGTTTAAATAGTAGAAGAAGGGGAAAATGAGAAAGTGGGTTCATATATAAATGTCACTTTGTTGAATGCACAGTCATGAGATGGGCTAAACCACAGGTGTATTTCAGATGAATGAAAGGATAGATGGATTATAGGAAGACCACAAAAAATAAGTTTCATGCACATCTAAAAAAGCCTTAAAATCAGGAGGCTCTTAGATGTATTTATTATGAAACTAACAGAATTTAGTTCTGATGTGATACTTTAGGATAAGCACTGGGTTGCTAACCACAGGTCAGCAGTTCAAATCCACCAACTATTCCTCAGAAATCCCTTACAGGGTCACTATGATTCAGAACCAGTTTGATGGGAACTGATTTAATGGCATGTAACAGCAACAACAACAACAACAAACAGAGAAGATAATTTTGGTAACAAAGAGGAATTCAAAAATAGGAAGGAGTTGGTTTATGTTGGTTTACATTTTATTAAAGTTGTAGTAAATTAGGGGGAAACTGATGAATGGCTAGATGAGTGGTACAAATACAGAGAAAGGCAGAAGAACTTTTATCCCTGTGCATCAGAGTTTTCTGAAATAGAGAAGATGTGTACCCATGTTCTTTTTTCAAAACAGATTTACCTTTATGGCTTCCTTCTGTTCCTTTGGCTAACCTAGATGGATTTATTTCTGTCGACAGTTGTTTACTACACTTAAAAAAAGGTGAAACCCACAGATTACTCAATTATTTTCTCTAATTGGGATTTTAGAGCCTTGTGTCATATTATTAAGTTGAATTAATTAGGTACAAGGGTAAGTAAAAAGTTTTGTTATTAGTGTTTCAGTTCGTACATGCATGGGTTTATTCTAAACAAAATATGTTTAATCACATCTCTGATCAATGGATGATGGCAATTTGTCTTATTAATACACTTACCTTAGTCTTACTAGGGTCTAATTAAAAAAATCTAATCAAAACTCGTTTCTAAGGGATGTGCTGGAACAGTTAAATTCAAGATAGAGAAGTCATCTCAGAAGGTTCTGGCAACTATTTTTTAGATTCCAAAGGGGTAATCTTGAGAGTTACTTTGAAGGACACAAAACAATTATAGAGGCTTATTATGAAGAAACTTAAAGAAAATGGAAAACTGCTTTGGTAAGAAAATGGCTAGGAAAGTTGCACAGGAATTTTTTTTCCATCAGGATAATGCACCTGCTCATTATTCAAGGGTAGCAAGGACTGTCCTAGGAGAATGTTACTGGGAATCCTTACCCCATCCATCCTATAGCCCTGATCTTTCCTCTTCAGACTTCTTTTGTTCCCCAAACTAGAAAGAACATTCGGGCATGGTATAAATCAAAGATTACGGAATTCTTCAGGTAAGGGTTTGAGAGCTGAAACCACTGCCTTAAGAAGTGTATAGACCTACATGGAGGATATGTTGAGAAACAGTAGCTTTGTATTTTAAGTTTTCGTTAAATAAAGGTTTCTGTGATTTTGTAGCACTGTCTTTTGACTTGCCCTCACATGTTTCATCCTAAAAGACAGTTATTTCTCTTTTCATTATCTTGTAGAAAATTGTTTGAAGTAACTGTTGAAATCTTCTTTGTTAGGAAAATGTTTCCTGTACAGTAATGGACTCATGGATCATCTGTGTGTCTGTGAAGAGGGAGGCAACAAAGTTTGGTATAAGAAGCCAGGATGTTTCCAAGGAACATTGGTAAGGAGATGATGTTATTTAGACTCAAGAGTATATTTTCTGTTTTCATACTTAATCTTGTATATGGTGATTTTTCTGGTGGGCACTGTAGGATAAGCACTAAACTGCAAAAAGGTCAGCAGTTCAAACGCACCTGCTGTTCCTCAGAAACACTCTACAGTGTCAGTATGAATTGAAACCTACTTGATAGCACTCAACAACAACATGACAGTTTTCTCATTGAAGGAAAATAAAAGTACCTTATATAGCTATAGATCTTATATAGATCAAAGAACACAGCCTTCGGTATGGGTTGCATCTCAATGTCAGAAAAACAAAAATCCTCACCACTGGACCAATAAACAACATTCTTTTTTTTTTTTAAGGTTTTTATTGTGGATTGAGTGAAAGTTTTCAGGGCACATCCATCGGTTTCACATTCAAACATTCATATACCTTGTTTCATTACATTGATTATAATCCCCTCCACATACCATCAGTTAACAGAGTTTCTCTCTATCCTCTTTAGCTTTTTTTTTTGGGAAAAACTTTGCCTTTTTGGAATTTACAGTCTCGGCTTTTAGGGAAGGTTTTTACATTTATCTGTGGGTATCCAGGGCTCATGTATGGAATTACTAACCAACATATCTGAATAATCAGATAAGGGACATTTTGCTATGTCTGCTAGGTGGCTAAAGTCTGATCCTCAGAGCCTATGGTTTGGACGGTCAGTAACGCTTGGGCCCACAGGGACTTGAACTCCTGACCGGGTCTGCATGGTTTGCAGCAGATTCCCCCTTATTTATTATTTGTTTAAGGGACCCTGCCTGTCTTAGGCAGTCAGTGCGAATTCCTCAGTCTTACCCGTCATGGAAACTCATTGCAGCATGGCAATGGCTCTGTCTTAGGTTGCCGAGGACAACATTCTTATCAATGGAGAAAAGATTGAAGTTGTCAAGGGCTTCATTCTTCTTGGATCAACTGTCAACACTTGTGGAAGCAGCAGTCAAGAGATCAGACGACGTACTGCATTGGGCAAATCTGCTGCACAGGAACTTTTTAAAGTTTTGAAGAGCAGAGATGTCAGCTTAAGGACTAAGGTGCGCCTGACCCAAGCCATGGTATTTTCAATAACCTCATATGGATGTGAAAGCTGGGCAGTGAATAAGGAAGACCGTAGAAGAATTGATGCCTTTGAGTAGTGGTGTTGGAGGAGAATACTAAAAGTGCCATGGACTGCCAAAAGAACCAATAGATCTATTTTGGAAGAAGTGCAACCAGAGTGCTCCTTGGAGGCCAGGATGGCTAAGCTTCGTCTCTCATACTTTGGACATATTGTCAGGAGGGAACAATCGCTGGAGAAGGATGTCATGCTGGGTAAGATGGAGGGTCAGAGAAAAAGAGGAAGACCCCCAACGAGATGGATCAGCCAGGTGGCATCATTGATGGTGTCAAGTGTGACAGCGGTAGTGAGGTTGGCCCAGGATCGGACATTGTTTCGTTCTGCTGTGCATGGGGTCGCTATGAGTTGGTTCTGACTCGATGGCACCTGACAACAACAACAACGTATAGCTAGTATACTTATATGCAGTTAAAAGGTAAATAATAAAGTAGGGAAAAGGAAGTACTTCTTTGCCTTTGAACTCTTAGTTAACTTTTATTTAATCGGTTCATGCTTTTTATGTAGAAAGAAAATTTGGTTCCCCTTTCCATTAAGCTTGGTTCCCCCCCAACCCCCCAACCCCCCTCAATTAGCCAAGTGGCAGCATCGATGCACTCAAACTTGGCAACAATAGTGAGGTTGGCCCAGGATCGGGCAGTGTTTTGTTCTGCTGTGCATAAGGTCGCGATGAGTCGGTACCAACTCAATGGCACCTAACAACAATAATTCATAGGGAAGTAAAAGCTTTAGAATAGGAAAGGATAAGGAATAGTATCTGTTTCTAGCCCTGGTGGTGCTGAGGGCTAGATGTTGGACTGCTAACCATAAGGTTGGCAGTTCAAACCCACCAGCTGCTCCATGGAAGAAAGATGAAGCGATCTGCTCCTGTAAAAACGTATAGGATTGCTATCAGTTAGAATTAGATGGATCGTAGTGGATTTTTAGGTACTCTAACTCTGTCACTTAACAAATAAGAAAACTAAGCCCAAAGGAGATTAAAATATTTTCCCTACATAATTTAGCAAATAAGTAAAGGTTAGAAAAGAAGTTAAAAGTTACAGAGAACTGCCTTCCCATTGCATAAACATTCCTGAGAGTTATAAATACATCTTCTCTTTAATCCTTTTGGGATTAGTGTAATGCTCATTTTGCTCTTTTTAGAAAATAAACTTAAAATTTTCAGATAATTGTAAATCACAGCCATTTTAAGAAGTAAAAAAACATATTCCGTTTACTGCTGCATATCTGGTTCTCCCAGTGGTAACATCTTGCAAACATATGTTGTTGTTGTTAAGTGTCATTGAGTCGATTCCATATTAAAGAGCACTTTTTGAAATCACTATGTATAATCCTGGTGTGATGCTGTAGGATAAGTTCGGAACCACAAAGTTGGTTTGAACTGTAATGCCAGCAGTTCAAACCTACCAGCTGCTCCTTGGGGACCCTATACAGGGTTGCTGTGAGCCAGAAACGACTCGGCAGAACTACACAATTTGACATCTCTGGAGAAGAACCAAGTACAGGCAGAACTGGAGGAAAGTCTACTGTTAAGAGATCTTAGTAGGTGAGATTTGTCAGTTTGCAGCCCTTTGCATGAGGAACTAATCATTCTACCTGCTGTCTGCAGATTGGGTGGCAAGGAATAGCACATTTACTTCCTTGAAATAGCAGAATACAGAGACCAGGGAAGGAAGGTAAAATCAAAATCAGAAAACTAAGAGAAATCCTGGAAGAGAAGGAGCTGCATTGGGTCAAAGTCTCCAAATTTGTATATAAAATCAGCCAAAAGACACCAAGGGATCTGGTAAAAACAGCAGCTGAAGGTTGAATAAACATTTTGGCTGCTGCCCACTGCAGAGGAGTCAGAGTTTGGAGTTTAAGTCAAGACAAAATTTAATGCCATCTAAAACAGCGAGTGAATTGTTAGACTGTGGTACATCCTTGCTATGAAATACTGTTTGTTGTGTACCATCAAGTTGGTACAGACTCATATTGACGCTGCATAGGGTTTCTGAGAGCGACTGATGGATTTGAACTGACTTTGTAGCTAACGGTCCAGTGTTTATCCTACAGTTCCACACGAGTGCTCTACCATGGAATGCTCTATTAAGTGCTGTTGAGTTGATTTTGTTTTAGGTCTCTAGAGAATGATGCCAAATTGTTGTTATTGTTAAGTGCTGTTGAGTTGATGATGACTTGTAGTGACCCTGTATATGGTTTCTGAGGCTTTAAATCTTTCCTGGGAGCAGAAAGTCTCATCTTTCTCCCATGGAGAAAACTGCTGACCATGTGGTTCGCAGTCCAGTGCTTATCCTATGGAGCCACTGTGCTCCCTTATGCTGAATTAGGGGGGGAAAACAACCCCCAAAGGCTAGACACATGATTCAGTTTATATATAACATTTGTGAGATGACAAAGTTATATAAATGAAGAACAGACTAGTGATTGTTGGAGGTTAAGAAGTACGTGGGGGTACAAAGGACATGGTACGGCTATGAAAAGGCAGCATTAGGGATCTTTTTGGTGGGACAACTATTCTGAATTTTGACTCTATCAATTTAAGTTTCCTGGCTGTGAGGCTGTACTATAGGAGGATAAATCAAAAAGTACTGCTATGTAATCAGAACAACCTTTATTAAACAAAAATATTAGGATGTGAAACTACTGTTTTTCAACATATTGTCCACCCAGGTTACCAGGATAAATAAAGAAGTATTGCTATTAGGGTTCAAGTTCATACCTGCACTCACTTACTCCAGACAAAACATGTTTAAGCATGTCTTTACAATCAGTAGCTGGCTGCAGACAAATTCTCTCAATATACACTTGTCTTAGTCTTGTTAGGTGCCTTAATAAAAAGGTCCACTCAAAACAATGACTTCTAAGGAAATCTGCTGAGCCAGTTAAATTCAAGATAAAGGTCAGAAGTTTATGGCACCTGTGTTTTGGGATTTCCAAGGGATAATCTTGATAGATTTCATCAAAGGGTATAGTATGATCACAGGGATTTATTATGAAGTTTTAAGAAAGTGGAAAACTGCATTGGTTAGAAAAAGGCCAGGAAAGTGGCACCAAGGAATTATTTTCCATCACAACAATGCATTTGCTCATTCTTTGAGTTATCCAGGGGTGTCCTGTGAGAATTTTGTTGGAAAATCTTATTTCATTTGCCATACAGCCCTGATCTTGCCCCTTCAGACTTCTTTTTGTTCCCCAAACTAAACATTTCAAAGGAACACAATTTGAGTCCCTCAAGGGAGCCAAAACTGCCTGTTTGATGTGGTGTAAATCAGAGGGCACAATTCTTCAGGAAAGGGTTGTTGTGAGTGCCGTTGAATAGGTTCCTACTCATAACGACACTGTGCACAACAGAAGGAAACACTGCCCAGTCCTGCACTTTCCTCAAAACTGTTGTTACACTTGAGTTCATTGCTGCTGCTACTGTGCCAGTCCATCTCGTTGGGGGTCTTCCTCTTTTTCACTGACCCTTCACTTTACCAAGCATGATGTCCTTCAAGGACTGGTTCCTTCTGATAACATGTCCAAAGTTTGGCCATCCTGGCTTCTAAGGAGGATTCTGGCTGAACTTCTTCCAACACAGATTAGTTTGTTCTTCTAGCCATCCATGGTACTTTTAATACTCTTCTCTACCATAATTAAAATGCATTGGGAAAGGATTGTTTTTGTTGTTACTTGCCATTGAGTTGGTCCTATATAGGATTTTCAAGGTTCTACATCTTCGAGGGAGCAGAAAGCCCTGTCTATCTCCGGTAGAGCATCTGGTGGACTTGAACTGTGGACCTTGTGGCTCTCAGTCCAGTGCTCAGAGTTGGAACTTAGATGGATGATATGTTGAGCAACAATACCTTCATATTTTGATATTTTTGTGTAGTAAAAGTCTCTGTGATTCTATAGCAATTACTTTTTGACTTACCCTCTTATTTTCTTTCTATTATTGTTTTTTTAAAAGCTTGGTTTCAGATTCTTAAGTAAAATTACCCAAAGTTAAGTAATACAGAGTTGATTCTGTAAGCAGAAAGTATCATCCAGAAATGCCTTTTCATTCTATCGAAAATTGAAGGAGAAAAAACATTTTTTCTTGAATTGGGTGAAGGTTTATAGAACAGATCATTGTTTTACACTCAACAATTCATACACATTTTGTTTCATCTCATTGATTGGTGTTCAGTGTCCTTCAATGTAACATCGTTTCTCTCACTTGCTCCCACTTCTTAGCCCTTCTGAACTTTGCCCTTAGGTAAGTGCTGCTCTTTTGATCTCAAATGGATGATGATTCTAAGATATGCATACCTCACTAGTTTTATTTTTCCCCTATAGATCTATCTGTTGTTTGGCTGAAAATTGAGCCATGGGGGAGAGTTTAATTCCAGACTTTACAGATGACTAAAAGCCATAGTCTCAGAGGTTCCACATCTCTTTCCAACCAGTAATCCTGGTCTTTCTTTATGATTTTGAGTTTTGTTTTACATTTTTCTCTCCTTCTGTCCAGGGCCTTCTAATGTGAAAAATTTCCAGAGCAGTTGGTAGTGGTAACTGTGTATAGTCCAGTTCCCTTAGTGCTAGGGTTATTGAGACTGATGTTCACGTGGTTCATTAGTCCATCAGACTAATTGTTCCATACATCGTTGGTTTTCATCACTCTAGTTGCACCCTAGGTGGCTGCTCAGGAGCTCCCCAGACCCCAGTCACTACTCACAATAAGGATGTAGAGCATTGTCTTTGTGGACTATGCTATGGCAGTTGACCCTGGTGTGCCCTGAGACAATGGTACTGAGCTATGAGGCTCAACAATTCATACCGTTAAGGTGCTTGTCTAAGAAATTTTTATAACTCTGACCTGTGGTCCAGGACTCCGCAAAGGTAAATACCCTCTCTCACTCATCTAAGACATTCATATTTTAGAAGTAGATGCTCAAAAGTATTAAATTACCAATCAGTTATCATTATGCACTTTTGGATATTATGTTCAGGGATGTATTTTGGCTACTATTTTCTATTATAATTTTAGGATGCCTTTTTGAAAATCATTCGAAATGAGGGCATTACATCCCTTTGGAGTGGCCTGCCCCCTACCCTGTAAGTTGAAATTTAATATTTTTCATACTAAGTGATGGATCTTTTTTGTTTTGTCTGATAACCAAGTAGCTACACAAAGTCTTACATTTTTAATATTATAATTATCTCACGTTCTCAAGTATTGTTTTGTGTGTTCATGACCACCTATACATTTGGTGATTCACTGGAAACATTCACAGACCTAGGTCAAGTTATACTCCTGGTCATTTTGTTTTGTTTTTTTGTTTTAACAACAAAAAGATACAGTAAGGGGAAACACACACATCAGGTTTCGAACAAGTGTAGCTTTCTAAAATCATTCCACATGTCATTGCACAGAATATACTTACTCTTTAGAGTGAGTATCAACATTTTTTAGTGTTTCTGTGTAGGGAAGTTCACTTGATTCTTACAGCCAATGCCTTTTTTATTGGTCATATGGGCACATTCTAGCTGCATGACTAGCTGCAAATACTAACATTCCAGAAAACCAGACAGAAAGCAAGTTTTTACCATAAATCACATCATTTGGAGTGTGGACAGAACAACCTAGAAATGTTGGTTTAGTGCTCTAGATATACAGAACATTTTATCGTGGAGAATATTCCAAAAGTTAAATTCCCAGGAGCTAATCAAAAGGTAAGGCCTGCAGGTGTCAGCACTCTTAAAGACGTAGAAGACTTGAGTGGCCAGGCCTGCTGTCTTGTCTGCTACACAAGTATAATTCCTCTTCCTGGTCCCCTCCCCTCAAATTGTCTTGAAGTTAGAAATTTGGGTGTTCATTTGCTTTTCCTATCTCTTACTAAAACATTGAATAAAGTGTTGCAAACACTGGCACCAACTTTCCCTCCCATGTGCTACTCAGCTGGGTTCAATAATTCATTGTGATGGCCACACAGAACATGGATTCGTACTTACAGTTATGAGGCTTATTAGAAAATTTAATAGGTTATAATTCAGGGTCAGAAATATTCTTCCAGTCAGGAAAGTCTCTCCTCTGCTGTGCTATAGGCAGGCCTCTCTCTGGCCCTGAGCCTGGCCTCTGCCCTGCTCCATCAGTGTTAGAAAGCTCTTTTAGGGCTACTGAGAAGTGCTCACAAAGCACACCACTCCACCAAAATCTTCAACCTGTAGACGCTCAATTCTCACTCCATGGTTCAGCACACTTAGCTCCCTTTGCAAGCAAACCTCCTGCTCAAAGTCACTTAGCTTTACTTGCTGTGTGGGCTGAGAAGCCCACCGTTCTGGCTCTTGATTCTGCTGCTGTCACCCCTCTGCTACTCCTATGGTCTCACAGCATTCTGTCCTGATTTCAAGGGCATTCAATCATTGCACAGAGATCTTGGGGTTCAAAGGACACACTCCACTCCTGGCTCTTTCTCCATGATGGCAATAAAATCCCCCCTGTTGCTTCTGAAATGGTTCACTTTATATCTACATTAGAGTTCCAAGTTTTCACAGTTAATCCTTTTAGTAGTCACTCACAACTAAATCATACAATCCATCAGCATTATCCCCACTTTTTCATACCCAGACTCATCAGGAAAAAAAATTGTTTGGTGGACTTTACAGTGACTAAGGCTAAAAGAGACATTAAATATTTCATTGAATATGTACATTCATACTAAAATATATTGCAATGTGTATACTTTAGCTTCTTCAGATAGTTTCTGTTCTCTAATATAGGAATTAATGTAATAAATTAGTAAAGCTGACTGTAAAAAATTCTAAATAATACCTTGTTTTTTCTACCTTTTTTCTAAGAACTTACTCTATGCTTTTTATGGAGCAAATTACTTACTAGTGAGGAAAATATTTTTAACAATATGTAGGATTATTAAGTTAGTGACAGATGTGTGACCAGCAGTTAGTCCTACCCCTAAATGCTCATACTCAGAAATATAGAACAGACATTTCAAAATACGGTCTGGGAAAGTATTGTAGTAAAATCATACCATATAGTTTTTCTTTTGGATAAATATTAAAGTAAAAAAAATTCATATTTGTGTAAGAATTTAATTATTATTTCCTCTTGCTATTTTAGTTTAGAAGAATAAATTATCAGAGCTCTTAAAATTAATTTCTATAATTTTGGTGATAGTTAAGTGCAGTTGAATCAGTTCCAACTCATAGTGAACTCTGTATGCGGTTTCCAAAGAATGGCTAGTAGGTTTCAACTGCCAACCTTGGGGTTCAAACCAGCCTTGGAGTCCAGTGCTTACCCTACAGTGCCATACCAGGACTCCTAGTGACAGTAGTTATACTTTATTTACAATTATAGCAGATACAATATATGGCCCATAGCGTAAATATATATATTTTTAATTGCTACTATAATTTTTTATTCAGTGATTCTTACGTTGTCATAAATGTAATTAGGAAGGAAGATCTGGAAGACCAGAACAAGAAGTGGGGGTGATAGAGAAGTGCCCTCATCAGTTGTCTTTTCCTGTTTGTATCCTGAGCTTGTTCTTTATATGTTACCTGAACTTGGATACATAGCACTTATTTAATGCTATGTATCATAACTTATCTTCACAAGTATATTATACATTTTTAGAGGGTGGTACTTAACATATGTTTTCATTGCTTACTAAGTTAAGCACTAATGAAAACCCAATGAATCGCAATGGTCCAATCCCAGTTGCATGGGGTTGCCCTGAGTCAGGGATGATGCAGTGGAAGCTAACAACAAGGACTAATAAATATTTTTTAAAATCTCATAATCTGACTTCTTGTAGTTTTAGATTTGTAAAATACAGCAAGTATTTATAGACTTTGGTGGTAGTGGTGGTTATGTGCCGTGGAGTCGGTACCGACTCATAGCAATTCTATACAGGGTTTCTGAGGCTGTAAATCTTTACAGGAGCAGAAAGCCTCATTTATAGACTTTACCTTGTATTTAATAACAGTTGAACATGTTTCATACCTTCTGATAATTTTGAACAACCCTTTTTGTTTGTGTGTTTCTAACAGAGTGATGGCAGTTCCTGCCACAGTTATTTATTTTACATGCTATGATCAATTAACTGCTCTTCTGAGATCTAAATTGGGAGAAAATGAAACCCGCATACCAATTGTTGCTGGAATTGTGGCCAGATGTAAGAAATAAACTATATTTTATTTTGATTTCTCTTTAGAGTTTAATAAATTTTAATACTCATAGATAATTTACAGAGTAATTGTTAATTAAATAATACACAGAATATTGGTAATAAATATTTTACATTATAGTTTGTACTAATTTTTTGTCTGTACTCTAGAAGTAACATGGTATGTTGTTGTTGTTAAATACCATCTAGTCAGTTCTGACTCATAGCAACCAGTATAGGATTTCTGAAAAGTGGCTGGTGAGTTTGAACTGCCAACTGTAGGCCAGTGCTGATCCTACAGTGCCACACCAGGGATCCAAGATGGTATGATGATTACCAGTAGAATGATTCAGGATCAGCACACCCTCTCTATAATTTCAGAAATTTTAGGGTTAGTTCTGATTCACCTGAATTTACAAGATGTCATTATAGACTTTGGGATTCAGAGTTTAGTCAGGTGACACACAGGTAAAGTGTTCTACTAAAAAAAGTCATCAGTATAATTTTAAAGGACACCTGGTATGGCATTGGAGGACCAGTATTGGAGTGCAGACAAGGTTGGCACTTCAAACCTATTTCAGGGTTACTATGAGTCGGAACCAAACTCAGTGGCACTTACGAACAACAATGAATCTAAAAGCTCAATATTTAATCTAAAGTAAACATAAGATAAGGGGACAGGTAAACTATAGTACTGGAAATGGAACAAACAGAATGCAAAGAGAATATTGGCATGTTGAGAAAAATGTAACACATATCATTGATCAATTTTTGTGGACACATTGGCACATGGGAACTTAACTTACTGTGTAAACATTCACCCAAAACACTAGAAAACATTATTAAAACTAATAATAAAAAATAAAGAAATTTTTGTAATAAGGCAAAAGGACATTTGTTTTGTGTAAGGGGAGTCAGATTTATTGAGACACTAACCGGACTGAGGCTTTTGTACTACTACTAGTTAATGTATAATGTTTCTGAAACTGCCTTTTAATGAGTTGAAACCAGAAAGAGTGCCAATATATTGACATTATTAAAGATTTGATTAGAAACGGTATAGATATTTCAGAATGAAAGTTTAAAACATGAAATAATTCTTACATGTGTATTTGCGTAGTACATTACTTTGTTTTTGTTTTGTTTTTTTATTTGCTGTTGTCTCTGTTAGTTGGTGCTGTAACTGTGATAAGTCCATTAGAACTGATTAGAACCAAGATACAGTCTAAGAAGTTTTCTTACAAGGAACTGCATCAATTTGTCAGCAAGAAAGTAGCTGAAGATGGTTGGATTTCCCTTTGGAGAGGCTGGGCTCCTACTATTCTTAGAGATGTACCTTTCTCAGGTAGGATTTAGCTTATTGTTACTGATAAATTTAGGTAATAACTAGATTTTAAATGGGAGAAAGATGAGCCTTTCTGTTTTACAGCCTCAGAAACCCTATTCAGGGTTGCTATGAGTTGGAACTGACTTGATGACGCTAACAACAACAAACTCCTTTAAGCTCAAAAGTAAACTCTTCTCGCCCGGGAGCTATCAAGTCAAATGGTCGGGACCCCTCAGAGCAAACCCCCTTCCAAAACTGAGACTCAGGGGGAGTACATGAGCAGGCATGTGATCTGGCAGGTAACCATGTTGGTCACCGATAAGGGGAAGAGGGGGAAAAAGTCGCGAGCTAAGCCCTGCCACATTCAATAGACCCCTGTGAACCTGGGTGGAGACCTGGATGGCCAGGAGTATGGCAAGACCTGGGAACTTCTGGGCTCAAAGGCAGTGACATGTCCACAGAAGACTAGAGTGGAGAGTGAAGCGTCCAGCTGATATAAAGTGAGGGGAGATGCACAAGAACACCCATGCTTGCAGATAGTACCCAGTGGACCTGGCTTCCATTGCTGGATGATCAGAACTTGACTAGAAGAAGAAAGAAGAAAGGGGTGGGGGTGGGGAAGTAACCTGCTACAATTTGATGAACTTTACCTATACGTATGGATGTAGTAGCTAAAAAAAGGGAACAAATCTTTACAGTGAGGATCACTCTCACCCACTCGGTACAAAGGGTTGACAGCGATGGGCAACTTAGACATTGGCTACCCAAAATGGGGTGGGGCCTATAAAGGCAAGAAGTGACTGGCTTACAAGCTTTCTAGAGGGAGCCTAGTTCCAGACGGGCCAAGGGAAAGTAGAATCACCACTGAATGATTTTCAGTCTGTTGGGACCAGGCTGGCGAAAGGAAATGGGGATAAGACTCTTAATGGTACAATAGTGAATAATTGCCATCAGAACTGACTGTGAGGGTAGGAGATATAGAGGTAGATGTTTTTTGAAAAAAAGAAGGGAGTGATTGATTTTGCAGCCCAGGAGCGGAGGTCCCTGGGACCATCAAGAGAGAAGAACGGAGAGCGGGACCTTACCCGAGAGGCAGTGATGCCAGGGATGGAGACAGAGATGATGATGTGGACAGATGGAGCAGCTGGGGACACTGGACTCAGGGAGGGAGAAGGGCTGTGTACTGGCGGCGCGGCCGGTGTGTGGGCCTGTGTGATGTACCCTTTGGTTATTTGAGGATGCATGGAGGGGATTGTAATCATTGCAGTGAAACAAAATATGATAGGGTAAGTGTAAAATTGATGTACTCCCATGTAAACCTCACAATAAAAACTTAAAAAATAAAAAAGTAAGCTCTTCTTTAGTTCAGTGGTGGGCTCTCAGATTTTTATGTTATTAACGAGCAATTTCTAAGTCAAGTCTGAATTTTCTTTCATCTCTGTATTTAATTTCGTTTTAATTAGTATGATGTTATAGTCAGAGAATGCAAACTACCTTTACGTTATTCTAAATAAGTTATAAATAGTGTCATGGATTGAATTGTGTCTCTCTAAAATATGTGTCATTTTGCCTAGTGGTTTGGTAGTTATGTAATGATGTAATTTGGCAGTTATATAACAATATAAATAACCCTCTCTTCATGGAGGATTAGGTGGCTTTTTTTATTTTAAGTTTTTATTGTGAGTTGAATGAAAGTTTACAGGGTAGATCATTACAATGATAATAATTCCATTCATGAACCATCAGTTAACAGTATTTCTCTCTGTTCATTTTAGCTCTTTTTCTTTCTTTTTTTTTTTAAACACTCAGGCATACATAATAATTTAAACCACAAAAGGGCACATTCTGAAAGTCTGCCTCCTGACCGCCAGCTCTCAGTCCTTCTCTTCCCATGAATTTAGAATCCTCAGCTGCTCCCTTTCTCCATGTCCCCATCTCTGCCTCCATCTCTGGTGTCGCCGCTCCTCTCGATAGGGTCCCGCATTCTGCTTGTACTCTTCTCCCTTGATGGTCTTAGGGTCCTCTGTTTCTAGAATGTAAGGTTACCTACTCCCCTATTTTTGTTATAAAACTTCTACCTTTACCATTGTGACAATTGCAATTAGTCATGATAACAATTACTCTCTATTGAATCATAAGAATCCTACCCCATCTCTTTTCACCAGACCCATCTAGACAAGATGAAAACTATTGAGCAGGACCTGTATCCTGTATCTTCCCCCGCACACTCTTAAACTAAACTCCCTCTTGAAAACTTGTAAGCCAGTCACTTTGTGCCTTTATCGTCCCCTCAGTTTAGGTAGCCAATGTCTAAGTTGCCCGTCTCTACTCTGTATACAGAGGAGATAGCCTTGATACTTGATATGAAGACTCCTTCCCTCTCTATTGGTGTTTTGAGCTACTACATTTATGAGTGTAGGTCAGGTTCATCAAATTGTAGCAATTTAAACTCGTTTCCTTTATCAAAAATTGTGGGTTTTTTGTTGTTGTTGTTGTTGTTGTTTTTAATCTTCCTATAGTCAAGTTCTCATTATCAAGCCATTGAGCCTTGGTCAGATGGGTACTATCTGCAAGTTTTGGTGTTCTTGTGTGTCTTCCCTCACTTCATACGAGCTGGATGCTTCACTCTCAGCTCTAGCCATCTGTGGCTATATCCTTGTCCATGGGCTCAGGAGTCCCCAGGTTTTACCACACTTTGGACCAACCAGCCCTTCTATCTCTCATCTTCAGGTCAGTGGAAGTCTTTGAACTCAGCCCATTTCTTCATTGCTGCCTTTTCCCTACTTCCACTCACCAATAGACCAATGTGGTTCCAGCAAGCTTGAATGCCTGCTTATGTGTTCCCTTTGAGTTTCAGTCTTAGGAGGGGGGTTTGACTTGAAGAGACTTGTTTGCTTGCCTTGATGGCTTCCCAGTGAACAACCTGATTATTCTTGTAGTAGCCAATCATACTGCCATTTTTGTTTTGGGTTTTTCCTTATCATCTTTCTTTGAAGATGTATCTTCTGTTGCTCTAGCTGTTCCAGGGTGGTATGCTTGTCCTTTCTGGTGGGAATGTCTCACCTCGGAAGTTTTTGGATGGGGTTCAGGATTCCACCTAAGGTCCTATACACTGCAAAGGCTCCGCAAGAAGCCTATTTCATTGGACAAGTTCTGGAACCCCTTTTAGGTATCCCAATCAGTTATAGACTGAAGACAGTCTCATAAGCTTTCGGTTACCATGTTTCCCGACATTCTTTTCTATTCCACTCAAGTGTCTATTTTAAAATAGTAGACAAGGGAAACCAGTAGTCATAAGACAGTCAGGCATCTTAGTATTATTACCTCTTTTCAGACTATGGCTTGATCCCTGGATCACAGAGCCCTGTTGTTCAAAGGTTGAGCATGCATCACTATTTACCTCTGTTCCATTTAGCCCATGCAAACCTGTGTCAGTGTTCCCCTATCTGCCATTTTCTTCCACCCCCTTCCCCTTCTTGTGTATTGCTCTCCTCAACACTGAAACAAGATTAGGTTTTGTTTGTTATGTTAATGAGGCAGGATCAGGGTAGGATGCAACACTTTACTCAGGTCTGAGCTCTTATCTGATGTAAAGGGAGTTTTCCTGGGATGTGGCTCATAACACCTTTTATCTTAGAAATAAAAGGAGAGAGAAGCTGACAGGAACTCAACCACCAAAAAAAAAAAAAAAAAAGAGCTGAAGCAGAGAGTGCCATTTGGTCCCTGGGTTCCTGCACTGAGAATCTCCTCTATCTAGGGGAACATTGATGCCCAAACATAACAGAGATCTCCAAAAATACTGGACCCCACAGATGTTAAAAGGAGACAAAGCCTATCATTCAGAGGCTCTTAAACTATTCATCTGCTTGTAGTAATTCTTTTATCGCAGCGCTAGGTAACTAAGACAGAATTTAGTATCAGGAGTTGGGTACTAAAATTATCAGGAGTTGGGCACTTAGAGATACCTAAAATTTGGTAATGGGTAGAGGCTGGAAGATTTTTAAGGAACCTAGATTGCTTTTTAAAGGGACTATTAGTAGAATTATGAACATCAATACTCCTGCCATGTCCCACCTTGTAACCACTATACTCAATTTTTATTATTCAGTTGATTGTAAAAACTTTACTGAATATGTTCAAGGGTGCTTCAAAAAGTTCATAGAAAAATGCATTTAAAAGATAATGGAATTTTCCCACACACTTTTGCAGCCCCTTCCTACATATTACTAAAAAATGTACTTTTTTGAGCTTTAAATTTGTTTTTTTTTTAAAGTTAAAAACATTTTCTAAGATTTATTCAAAAATCATTTTTATGTGTAACTTGTTTTCTTCATTTTTATATTTGTTTATGTGTAAATAAATAAACAATGCTTACTTTTATGAATGTTTTTAAAAATTTCTTGGTATATATGTGCAGTAATGGATTTTCTGGTTTGTGTAAGTGTATATGTTTTTCATTTTACTCGGTAATGTCAAGTTCTTTTCTAAAGTGATAGAATGAATCTACATGTCTGCCAGCAGTTATGAGATTTCTTGCTGCTTCATACCAGCACTTTTATTGTAAAAGTTCTTCATTTTTTTTTACTAGTAATTTAAAGTGGTATCTCACTTTAATTTGTATATTCTTTATTAATGAGATTGGGCATAGTTTTATTGCCCATTCATTTACCCATTATTGATTTGGGATTTTGAATTACAATAGGGATTCAATCTTATTTTTCCCTCATACGTATAGGCAGTTAACCCATATAGTACATACAGAGATCTGCAGTGTTACATCTGTCATATCAAATTCATACATCTGTTTTATTGGCCAGTTAATCTAACTCTGTGCCAATACTCACTACCTTAATTGTTGTTGGTAAGTGCCGCCAAGTCAGTTTCCACTCTTAGCGACCTTGTATAGCGTTTCTGAGGAGCAGATGATGGATTTGAACTGCCAACCAATTAGCAGTTCACTGCTGATTCTACAGCACCATACCAGGATTCCATATATAATAAGTTCTAGTTTATAGTTATGGTGTTGGTTATGTGCCATGAAGTTGATTCTAACTCATAGAAACCCTGTATAGGGTTTCCAAGGTTGTAAATCTTTACGGGAGCAGAAAACCTCATCTTTCTCCCACAGAACCACTTGTTTCGAATTGCTGACCATGAGATTAGCAGCCTGACTCGTAACCACTATGCTACCAGAGCTCCCTTGTTTATAGATTAAAAAAAAAAAAAAAAGTTTCTGATGGCACCTTATTTTCCTTCTCCAGTGTCTCTATTTCTTAGTGCTACTATAACAAAAAGACTTAAGTGAGTGGCTTTAATGAACAAAATTTATTTTCTCCATTTAAGCGGTTTTTTAAAAGGCTTTATCATCAAGTCAATTCTGACTCACAGAGACCTTACAAGACAGGGTTTGTTATTGCTGTTAAGTGCCGTAAAGTTGGTATTGACCCATAGCGACCCTCTATAGGGTTTTCGAGGAGTGGCTGGTAAGCTTGAACTGCTGACCTTGTAGTTCATACCAACCTTGAAGGCCAGCGCATTACCACACTGTGCCACACTAGGACTCCATAAGACACGGTAGAACTATCGTATTGAGTTTTCAAGGCTTTACATCTTAACAGAAGCAGACTCCCACATCTTTGTCCTGTGCAGCAGCAGGTGGGTTTGAACCACTGATCTTTCGTTTATCCATGCACTTAACTCCTGTACTGCGAGTTCTACAAGTCTGAATTCATGCTGCCAGCTTGAGAGGAAGGCTCTGTCTGCCCTTGTAGTAGATCTTTTTTAGCTTCTGTTTCTCAAATCGTTGACGATTTTTATATGGTTTGACATCTATCTTTCTCCATCTGTGCCTCCTTGCTTCTAGACCTAATCTGCTCCTTTTATGTCTCAAAAGTGAGTGGCTTAACACACAGTGTATACGGATTACCTCATTACCTAACAAATAAAACCCTTTTTTGGGTTTTATTTGTTAGGTAATGGCATTACATCTACAAGTATGTTGTTTGTGTTCTACTCAATTTGTACTTGTATTGACTCTAGTGATCCCAAGGCTGTAATCTTAATGGAAGCAGACACCCTTGGAGTGGATGGTGAGTTCGAACCACCAAGCATCTAACCATTGCCCGGCCAGGACTCCTTCTCCACAGGCATAAAACCAAACACCAATCCCAGTGCCATGGAACGGATTCTGATTAACAGTGACCCTATATTAGGACTCCTGGTGTAGCACTATAGGACCAGCACTGGACTTTGAAACATAATGTTAGCAGTGCAGACTCACCAGCCGCTACTCAGAAACCCTATACAGGGTCACTATGAGTTGGAACCGACTTGTTGACATTTAACAACAACAACATAGGGTTTCCAAGGCTGTAAATCTTAATAGGAATAGAAAGTCTCAGCTTTCTCCCTTGGAGGGGCTGTTGGGTTCGACTGCCAATCTTGCAGTTAGCAGTACAGTGCTTATCCTACAGCGTCACCAGGGCTCCTTTTCTCCCCAAGTATAAGGACTAGGGCTTACATTTTGGGGGGCCCAACTCAGTCCTTAACACCTAGGAATATCTTTTGTATTTTTGTTGTTAAATGCCCTCAAGTTACTTCTGTTCATAGCAACCCTGTATAGGGTTTCCAGGGAGCAGCTGTTGGATGTGAACTTCTGACCTTGTGGTTAGCAGTCCAGTGCTTATCCTACAGCATCAAACATTCAAATATTAGAATGATCTTGTCAAGGTCCATGAAAACTCCATTTTTATTGCAATTGTATTTTATCTCCAGGTCAGTATAGGAAAACAAACAACTTTATTCTGCTGAATCTTTACCTTCATCATAATGGTAGATAGCTCTTTATGTTTATGTATTTCTTATAGTCTCAATGGAGATAAAAAATGTTTTCATGAAAGTTACATACATCTTTATTATATTAGATTTTTTTTTAATAGGGACTCATACACACCTCTTCAACTTTGGGTAGCTATTTTTAAAGTGGTATTATTTTGTTAATTGTGTCTTCTCAATATTTGTGGCTGGTGTAATTGAATTTTGTCTTGTTTAAATCCAGCTCCCTTTTAAAACTCTTACAAATTCTAATTTGTCTATCTTTTCAGTTTTTGTGTAAACATTGGAGTCCTAGTGTAGGATAAGCACCAGACTGCTAACTGTGAGGTTGGGCAGTTTAAACTAATACCTCCTGCTCCTTGGAAACTTTATGCAGGGTCACTGTGAGTTGGAACCAACTCAACAGCACTTAACAACAACATGTAGACAATGGGGTTTCTAGGTAGACAATAATATGTAAATTTGGACTTTTTCTTCTTTATTAATCCTTAGTGTTTATTTTTCCTCATATAACAATGCTGCCTATTTTAGTTTTGAATGGCAATAATGATAATTTGTATCTTTGTCATTTTCCTTATTCTAGAGGAAGTCTTCATTTAACCATTAATGATGGTTTTTATTATAGGTTTTTGATGTATATCCTTCATCAGCTTAAAGAAGATCCTATTTATTTTCAGTTTTCTTAGGCATTTGATGCTTTTATTATAATAGTTGAATTTTATTAAACGTTTTTACATCATTTTTAGTTCATCACATATTTTATCTGTTACTGTGTATGGTATTTAAAGGTTTTATTATATTAATTGTGCTATTTTATTATATTTATCATATATATCAAAAGCACATTATATTTTATTATATATCTTTGCATTACTGGGATAAACCTAATTTAGCCATAGTGTTTCTGGCTTCAGTTTTCTTATTATTTATTGTAATTTATAGTGAAATCATCTGTGACTAATGGCAACTTTATTTATAACAGAATTAAACATTGTCCCTACACCATCTTCATGATCATTGGTTGGCGTAAGTTCATTGTTGTGGCCATTTTGTCAAATCCGTCTCTTAACCTTGAGGGGTTTCCCTCATTTTGCTCACCTTCTAGTTTATATAACATGATATCCCTTTTCCAGGGATGAAAAAGTTACGTGAACCAGTGTCTCACCATTCCTGCTTCTGTGGAGTATTCTGGTTGCTTTTCTTCTGGCAGTCCACATTATCTTCAGTATTCTTCCCTGATACCACAATTTGAATGCATCAGTTCTTCATTTTTATTGTCCAGTTTTTACATGCATACGAAGCGATTGAAAATGCCATGATTTGACTCAAGAATACCATGTTATCAAAGTGACATCTTTGTTTTTTGAAACAATAAAGTGGTCTTTTGCATCATATTCTACCAATACATTGCATTATTTGAGTTGTTTCCTGTTTCCATGGACTATGGTTGTTTATCAAATAGAATGAAATTGACAACTTCAGTTTTTTCCTTATTTCATGATATTATTTATAAATCCATGCTTATTATTTATTTAGGGTGTGTAGATCTATGTTTCTGAATAAGATTGGCCTTTACTTTTTCTTTCCCTTACTGTCTTTGTCAGATTTTGTAATTATGGTCCTCCTTTACTGATATACAAGAAGCCTTGCTGGTGCTGTGAGTTAGACTTTGGGCTGCTAATCACAAGGTCAGCAGTTCAAACCCAGCAACTGCTCCACAGAAGAAAGATGAAGCTATCTGCTCCCATAAAGATTTACAGTCTCTGAAACCCTATAAAGGGTTACTATGGGTTGTAATCAACTCAGTGACAGTGGGTTTGGTTTGGTTTTACTGATACATAGGGTTTGTTTGTTTGTTTGTTTGTTTTTTTGCTTATAGGACTGCTAGAACATTATTGAGAATTTGGTGTGTTTTTTAAATCCCATCTAGTATGTGTCTAAACAGAAAGCAGCATTTGGAATTTTTTTCCTTTAATGTATAAAAATCATAAATCTTAAATGTTCATATTTTGTTCTAAATTTATATTTTATTCTTTATTTTTATAGCAATGTACTGGTATAACTATGAAGTCTTAAGGAAGTGGTTGTGTGAGAAATCTGGTTTATATGAACCAACGTTTACGATCAACTTTACTTCAGGGGCATTGTCGGGTGCTGTAAGTTTATTCTTTTGTTGTTGATATTTTAGAATAGTGAAAGTTGTTATTTAAAGTAGAATAACATAAAGCATTTCATATAGTGATAGCATTTTTTGGACTGCGCTGCTTAAAATTTTTCTAAGCATTTATCCTTCTTTTAAAGGAAATTATTAGCCTTTAAAATGTGCTGTTTTTATTTCATTACAAATGTATTATCTTCAAAACTTTAGAATTTGTTAGCTCTATTATGATTATGGAGTGCTGGTGTGGCACTGTGGGTTAATGTGCTGGATTGCAAGGTTGCTTTGAACCGCAAGGTTGGTGTTTCAAGCTTACCAGTCACTCCTCATAAACCCTATACAGAATCAGTATTTGTCGTTACCAGCTCGACAGTATACTTAACAACAACAAAAACAAAATACTGTGATTATAGGCAGTGTGGTGGTTCTATAGGATGAGCGCTGGACTACAAACCATAAGTCAGTGGTTCTCTAGCCTCCCAGCTAGTCTGCAGGAGAAAGATGAGGCCTTCTGTGCCCACAGATATTTACCTCAGAAACTCTATACAGGGACAATATGAGTCAGTACCGACTTCATGACTCTTAACAATAACAGGAATGAAAAGAAAATGATAATACTTTAAAATAGTGCTTTATTATTTATAGAATATTTTATATTTTAGTTCATTAAATGCCAGTAGATATGGCTAGATAATATTTTATGTAGAATATTTATAAGTAGAATGGATAGGAGCAGTTTTATTCTTTTAACAAATACTTCATAAAAGAATTTTAACAAAAACACCTATCAGAGAAGGGAGGAATCTCAAATGACCTTTTTTTTTTTTTTAATGTTTGTGAATTATGTGATAGTTTAGTTTACATGGAAGAACATTAGCTTTACATTCATCCTATTGTATATCGTTTCATTGCCATGGTTATAATCCCCTCCATGCATCATCAACCAACCAAAGGGTATACCCTGCAAGCCTGTCCCTCGTCTTCAGCACCCAGCCCTTCTTCCCCTCTGGATCTAGAGTCCCTAGCTGCTCCTCTCTCCATGTCATCATCTCTGCCTGCATCTCTGGCATCACTGTTTCTCTGGGTAAGGTCCGGCACTCCGCTCTTCTCCCTTGATGGTCCCAAGGACCTCTGCTCCTAGACTGCAAAGTCAACTACTGCCCTCCTTTTGCTACAAAACATATACCTTTATATTTCCAACCCTTACAATCATTCCTGATAGCGATGATTCACTACTGTGCCACATGAATGCTATCCCCATATCCTTTCATCAGCCCCACCCAGACAGATTGGATACTACTCAGTGGAGATTCTACCTCCCTCCATGCCCACTGGATCTAGGGTTCCTCTGGAAAGCTTGTAAGCCAGTCACTTCTTGCCTTTGTAGCCCTCCATTTTGGGTAGCCAGTGTCCAAGTTGCCCATCCCTGTCTACCCTGTGTATTGAGGGGGTGGGAATGATCCTCACTATAAAGATTTGTTACCTCTTTTGAGCTACTACATCCATAGGTGTAGGTCAAGTTCATCAAATTGTATCAGATTACTCTTTTTTTCCTCTTCTTTCTTTTTCTAGTTGAGTTCTGATCATCCAGCCTTTGAAGCCAGGTCAAGTGGGTATTATCTGCAAGTGTGGGTATTCTTGTGCATATGCCCTCTCTTCTTATCAACTGGATGCTTCACTCTCTACTCTAATCCTCTGTGGCTATGTCACTGACTCTGGGCCCAGGAGACCCCAGGTCTTGCCACACTGCTGGCCAACCAGGTCTCCACCCGGGTTCACAGGAGTCTATTGAATGTGGTAGGGCTTAGCTTGCAGCCTCATTGCTTTTTTTGCTCACTTCCCCTTATTGGTGACCAATGTGATCACCAGTCAGAATGCATGTCTGCTCATGTAGTCCCATTTAGTCTTAGTCTTGGAGAAGGGGTTTGCTCTGAGGGGACCCGACCACTTGCCTTGATGTCTCCTGGGTGAGCAACTTGCAGAGGCTCCACAGGAAGCCTCCTTCACTGGATAGCACCATTTTAGGTATTCCAATCAGTTATAGGCAGAAGATGGATTTACAAGCTTTCTATGGTGATATTTCTGGCTATTCCTTTCTCTCTCCCTAGAGTGTCTATTTTATAATGGTATGCAAGGGAATCCAAGATTCAAAAGACAGCCAAGCATCTTAAAATTGTTTCTCCCCTTTTGCCCATTCCAACTATGCCTTGATTCCTATATCCCAGAGCCCTGTTGTTCCAAGGTTGTGCATACATCATTATTTACCTCTGCCCCACTTAGCCCATGCAAGCCTGCCTAATTGTTCTCCCATTCCCCTCCTCATTCTTATATATTACCCACCTCCCTAGCACCCAAACTATCCTATGTCTATTCCCTACCCTGTGCTCCACCTTCCCCTCCCTCCCTCCCCTCATCTCACCCCCACTTCCTGGTAACAAGCAAAGAATCTCTTCCCCCCCTTTAGTATGAGTTCTTTTTCTAGTCTTTTACAATAGTGGTCAAATGACCATTTTTGCCTGATAGAGAATCTTTCCCACCCCTCCACATAATGAAAGTCATGTAGAGAATTTTTCTTATACAGGTATTTATCACCATGACTTAGGGCACAAATTTTCTATACTCATTTTGAAAATGAATTTTTGATGATTTACTATGAAACATAAACACTGGAGCCATTTAAAATCTCGAGTTAAAGGGGCACAATGAAGTGATAGAGACCTTCAGAAAAGTATTGGAATAATTATTTTAAGAGACCCTTGGCTATGAGATACCACCTTGGTGAATTTAAAATTTATATATGGATATTCCTAGGCCTAAGATCTGTCTAAATAAGCCTAATGGACTATAAGCCTATCAAACAAAATAAAAAGCTATTAGGTTTATTTAGTAGATCAGAAGGATACTATATTATAATGACTCTAGAATGTTGTTGAGTGAAAACATTCAATGTAGAAAGTGAATGAAAAGATGTTATTTTTTCATAAGCTTTTTGAAGTATACTGGTATATCTAATTTAATAGGAGCGTCCCTTTAAATATATCTGGTTTCATTTTAAGGTTTGGTTTGGGCGGTGAGTTTTATTATCCATGTTAAATAATGTGCTAATTAGAAGAATAAGAAATATTTTTATGAAATATTTAAAGTAGATTTAATCAATTTTACTTTCTGATAGTTTGCAGCTGTTGCAACTTTACCATTTGATGTGGTAAAAACACGAAAGCAGACACAACTTTGGATATATGAAAGTCATAAAAGTAAGTTTAATTTAAAACATTTTTACAATGTCATGAAATTTTTCTTTCCTTACAGTTATTAAGAATATCTTCAATGGGGAACTGGTGTGGTGTTGCAGGATAATGTAATGTGCTAGATGGCAAGGTCAGTTTGAGCCTCAAGATTGGCAATTCAAACCCACCAGCTGTTCTCGGAAACCCTAGACAAGTTCGCTATGAGTTGGAACTGACTAAGCAGCACTTTAACATCAACAGTGGGGAAAGCAAGATGGTTTTTTCCTCTTCAGTCTTATTCTCTTTATGTTTTATGAAACTAGTATACTGTTAGAATGGAATATCCAGAAAATATACCCTAAAGTCAATTTAAAAAATATATAAAAGAGACCTTAAAGTCTAATGTATCTTGTCTGTCATCAGTTAAGTCTTATGTTGGCTATATAGAAGATTGAATTATCTTTGTTATTCATGAGCTAAATTGTTTTATGCTATTTTTTCTACTTCAACACACTCGGACCACTTCTCCCATTCTTGATGCAAGTAATTCTCTCATTCTTCAGGTGTGCTCCATGTCAGGCACCATCAATCCTTTCCTAGCCCTCAAAGTACTCCTCAATCTAGTAGAGGAGAAGCTGTTACAGAAGTATTTTAGGATGTATTAAGTGCCAGATCCTAGAATAATTTTTAATCTGATTTTTAAGGGTATCATCTATACTTAGTTATTAAATTTTCAATCTCTAGTTTCATATTTTTAAACATAGCTCAGATCTGTTTTCCAGAAGTTAATTTTCTCCAAACATGCTCAGTATTTTAAAGCAGTTGAAGAAAAAGAATTCTTTAAAAAGTTGTTATTCTTGGAAAACAAACTTATTAAAAATTATCTTAGTAATAATTTAGAAAAATGCCAACTGGAAGAGCAGTGAAAGGACTTGTATTTGTGTACTGAACTGTTGGGAAGGAAGTGTCGTAGTGGGGGAACTCTCTGGCCTTGCGATAGAGTAGAAAAGTTAGAACTACTTTGGAGAACAATTTGGCAATGCCAAATTAGTCTTACCTAGCAATTCTGTTCCTATTTATGGACCCTAGAGGAGGCTATTCATTATAGTGTCACATCTTATTAGTGTCACAAAGTTGGAAACCATCTAAGAATATTCCCTTGCAGGCAAATTCAATAAATTATGAGAATCCATTTAATAACATACAGGAATTAGAGTAAACTGTAGCTACACTTACCAATTTACTTACATTAATTCCTGTATGTTATCTCATCATATGGATTATGTAGCTATACTTATCAGTAGGAGTCCTGGTGTGGCACTGTAGGTTAACGCAGTGGACTGCAAAGTCATTTGAACTGCAACGTTGGTAGTTTAAGCTCACCAGTCTCTCCATGGAAACCCTATACAGGGTCGCTATGGGTTGGAACTGACTCAATGGCACTTAACAACATTTATCAATGTTGTTGTTAAGAGCTGTTAAGTTTTTGTTGATACCATTAAATGAAGTTTAAAAACAAAAAAATAAGAGTACATATTGTATATGGATTTATTCATTTCTAGTAAAAGTTTAACATGCTTGAGGAGGATTTTATTACAAAAGAAAGGAGAGAGGTTACCTCTGGGAAGAGAGAAAGAATAAGATATACAGGGAGCTTCTATTACATTTGAAAAATACAGTTATTAAGATTTAATACATTTGGATGGTCATTAAGTGGGTGTTAGTTTCACAATTTTCTATACTTTTCTGTATTTTGGAAATATTTTATATTAAGATTAATCCCTTAGAATAAAGAAGTGGCTTATTACCTCTATGAATATTTCTTTAACAGAACTGTAGGCTTTTGAGATTCCACTAGAGTTCTACTGTCACTTTGTCAGGTGATACTCTTTCTTTAAGTGTGCCTGAAAAATAGAAACAAGTGTGAACTTGAGTTCTACATAGTGAGTAGAAATACCTTGGCTACCTGTTTTTCTTTCTTTCATGTTGCTTCCCAAATTTAAATGAAATGACTTAAACAGAAAGTAAATGTTAACTTTTATAAAGTTGTTGTCATTGTCTTAAAGTTTCTTTCATAAATACTCAGTTTTAATTGATTTTTAATATGGTCGCTATGAGTCAGAACTGATTCGACGGCAACAACAACATATTTAAATTTAATATAGTAACCTTCTGTATTGGGATCCTATGTTATATTTGCTTTACAATTTACACTGATGGCATGGCTTCTTAAGTAAGTTATAGGTTTCATAATCAGAGAATCTGATACTTTATATATATATGAAATTATAAGAATGAACCCCACTGCATTCAGTAGCAAATTCTGAAAAGCCATTTTGGAAGGATGTTCTTCTATAATCTTTTCCCTTTTCTCCAGACTTGTTTAGTAGTAATTACTTTATTCTTTCTAATAAGTCAGGGTCCTGGTGTGGTGCTGTGGATTAATGTGTCAGACTGCAAAGCCATTTGAACTGCAAGGTTGGCTGTTCAAGCTCACTAGCTGCTCCTCAGAAACCCTATACAGGGTAGCTATGGGTTGGAACCCACTCGACAGCACTTGACAACAACATCATTGTGCAAACATTGATTATTAAAGAGTTTTAAAATGCTGCTCTTGGAAGATAATGTTCACATGGTATTATGCGTCCTTCTTAGCTGGATTTTTTAAAACTTAATGCATCTAGTAGTCTGTGGACTAAGCTAGCCAAGAGTCAGTATGTAAAATTAAGATACCTGATCTCTGCATTAAAAAATTTCATTCATTAAGTTTTAATGTTTAAACGTAAGTGATATCTATTTTGTTGTTTAAAAACTTTTTTAAAAAATTGTGCTCTAGATTTTTCAATGATTTCAAATAAATTATATGTTAGGTTGGCTAAGGGATATAGCTACTCTTGGAGGAAATAGAACGAATCGTTAAGACTAACACATCTATTCAGAAAGGTTATAATAAAGCAGAGCCCCATTGAGAGCATGGACTATTTTCTTTAGAACCTCTTTTTAGGAAAAACTATTTTTAATGTATGCAATAAGAATTACTATAAAAATATATATTAGACTTTCTATTTGATATGGTTGTTGTTAAGTGCTATAGTCGGGTTCCGACCCATAGCGACCCTGTTTAGGGTTTCCGAGGAACAGCTGGCCTTGTGGTTCAAGCAGACTTTGCTGTCCAGTGCATATTAACCAACCACGCTACAGGAAGTCTCCTATTTGACATTAGATACATAATAAACATTTGTATACATTTTAAAGTTTTTTGAAGATGTGTAAAAAAGATGTAAAGAATGCTCACCACCAAGTAACAAGCTTAAGAAACACAACACTTAACAACTCATGAGGAGCCTTTTGTATTTTTCCTTGATTGTATCCAGTCTTACACATCTTTAAACTTAGACATCTTTTTTCTATTTTGTTTTTCCTTTTTAACGAATCTAACTATTCAGAATCAGATTTAAGATATCTCTTCAGGTAAACAGGCCTATTCATATAATGAAATGATATATCCATCAAATGGCATAAATATATGTATTATAAAATTATTTTCATATTAGCATTTTTATTTTAAAATTTAGTGAATATGACAACTTGGGTTATAATGAAGAACATTGTTGCTGAAAATGGATTTCCTGGATTATTTACAGGTAAAAACACGTGCTTTATTCAATCATTGAATACAACTAAAACACCTTCTAAACTTAACTTTCAGGAGGGAGTTTTAGGAAAGCATTTCACATTTATGATTTTTCATATCTTTGCTATAAGTTAAAACAAGTATTAAATAACAGGAGTTTTACAATAAATCAGATTTCTGTATGAAGTGATACGGGATTGAAGTTTGAGAGTGTTGAGTTGTTTGGCTTGTTCTTGGCCACCAGTTTTTGACATATTTGATACGTCAATTCATTTAATTCAGTTGTATTAGAATACAGTCAAATAGCTTACATTTAAAAAATAAAATTTGTTCTGATTATTTTTATTCTCTTTTTCAGGACTAGTTCCTCGTTTAATTAAAATTGCTCCTGCATGTGCCATTATGATCAGTACATATGAATTTGGGAAGACCTTTTTCAAGGAACAAAACATTCGAAGCCAGCAATACTAGCTAGTAATGTTTCAACTTGAAATAACCATAGTCAAATAATAAAATGGAGACAGACAAGAATTTTTCCACTATTATTACTTTACATTGATTTGATGTTTTTATTTCCTATAATTTAAATGAGTATTTATTTATTATTCCACCTCTAATACATAACCCAAATTTTAAACTGTTTTTTTTAGTTTCTGAGATAGTGAAAAAGAGATTCCAGAAATCCAACCATTGAGCATCCTAGTCTGAGAGCAATATATTTTTATATGTATATGTTTCAGTATAATTTATCTTATTGGGAGTACATTAGCTACACTGAACCATTTTGAATTATGTGTTGAACGACTGTACAGAGTCTAGAAGAAAAAATCCATGTTTTTGTACATTTAAATTACGTACATAGAAATATATAAGTATGAATAAAACACATAATAGAAGATAGCCATTAAGTAGCATTAATCAAATACTACTTATTGGTTATTTTATTTCTTTAATCCAAATGTAAGGAGACCTGATGGCACCTAGCTGCTAACTAAAAGGTTGGTGGTGTGAACTCACCAGTTACTCCATGGCAGAAGGATGTGGCAGTCAAGGTCTGTAACGATAGTCTGTTCTGGAACCCTATGGTGTCCATAGGGGTGCTGTGAGTCGGAGTCGCCTGGATGGCACACAGTAGTCCAAATGCTTTCTTTTTCTTTTTTTTTTTTTTTAACTCTTTACTATTTTAAGTATTCACACGTATTAAGAATTTCCCTAATCAAAGGTAAGACTATTTTACCTTTTATGAACAATACCAGTTATATGATGTTGATGTTGCCATTTTGGGTGACTAAACAGAGTCCTGTTATGGCACTGTCAAATAAACACTGGGCTGCTAACTGCAGTTTAGAGGTTCAAGCGGACTAACCATTCCTTGGAAACCCTATAGAGGGTCGCTATGAGTTGGAACCACTTGATGGCACTTAAGAATAACGTAATAGCTACTGTTTTCACAAGAGAGGGAATTTTTTACTATTTGGTGTAAATGTTAATTTTACTCAAATTGGATGTGCAATGGAAAATCACTGTATTTAAACTAGTAAAAATAAACTTAGAATAAAGGATGGGACGCTGGTTTTTAGCCACTTCATAATTCCTAAAATTGTTCATACAGAGTCCTGGTGTGTTATAACTACTGGACCACAAGGTTGTTTTGAACTGCAAAGTTGGTGATTCAAACCCACCAGCTGCTCCTTGAAAACCCTATACAGGGTCGCTATGAGTTGGAACTGACTTGACGGCACTTAACCAACAGCAAGATCATTGTTCATTAAGTTCTCTAGATCATTTCTAATGACTTGTTCTAACATTACATAGCTTACTAAGCACTATATTGGTGTTCAAATATTTTAAAATGTCCTGTGATTTCATGTCATCTCATATTAGTCTGTTAGACCAAGAGACTAAATAAGAAGGAATTGCTTTCAGGCATGGGAGGCTAATGCTTAAGTAATTTAGCTTTTGAATATACTTAGAGATGAAATAAAGACTATGATGGCAGGGTAAGAAATGGTATCCTTTTCTAATATTGCTTGATTTCCTCAAGATCTGTATCATGTAAGAATAAACACTTTATTTTAATCTATTTGTATTTTATGACACCATGAAGCATTTCTTTTCTAAAATAGAATAATATATTTAGGTAACAAATCTATGGTTTCAGTAAAGCTATAAATACATTTTTTATTTAAAGTAGAAAAGGGTTTATATATTTCACAAGAAACAAACTGTATAGGGTTTGTTGTATGTAGTCTTTTGCTTTTATTTTATCCTGTGTTAAATTAAATTTGCAAAAATAGTCTCATAAATATAAATATATAATTTAATGTATATTTTCATTTAAATATCTTATACCTTAATTAAAATTGTGATTTTAGTAAAATATTTTCAAATAAAAGTAACTGTTAATGCTATACTGTATATATATGAAAGTTTATCTTGAACATGACTGTCTAAAGTATTAAATTTAAATTTACTTTGGTAAATTCTGCTGTGCATGTTTTTGATAAATGATTGGTAGAAAAAGACAGAAAAACTTAAAACTATGATCTAAAAAAGCAACTACAGATTTCAACTTAAGTATCACTTCTCCTTGGAAACCCTATGCAGGGTCACTATGAGTCGCAACTGACTCGATGGCACTTAACTACAACATCACTTATAAACACCAGAAAGGGCATTTCCATTCTCTCTACTATACTGCACTTGAGGAAAATTTTTATCATTTATGACTAAAATAAGTTAAATAAATCTCAATTTCCTGGTAGTTTTTCTAACACATGTTACATGCAAAGAATATGAATGGAAAGGCTGAAGAATGAAACCTTCTTTATACTTAAGAGGTTAAGAAAAAAAAAATCAGTACATGTTTTAGATTAAATATTTAGTAACCAAGAAGGATGTGCTAGAAATTATGTCAGCACTTTGCCTAATAACATTTTAAAATTGAAGTTCTTGTGTGCCATTGAGTCAGTTCCGACTCACAGTGATCCTATCTAGGGGTTTCAAAGGCGCTGTTAATGAGTTTGAACTGATCAGAAACCTTATGCCAGGTCACTATGGGTCAGAACAGACTCGATGGCACTTAGTAACAAGGAGCAGCTGGTGGATAAACGCAGCCCGTGCATGACTAAAATACTAAGTTACTTATCCACCCCAATCAAGTTCTAGCTGTTAAAATAATTGAACTATATTGGCAGTAACTATTCCCAGATTTCACCTCAGTTCAATAGACAACTATGACTGTCAACCACATGGGTTTCCCAGCATTTTAAATACATGGGCTCTAGGAATGCCATATTTGTAAACCTAGAAAGTTTTTCTCCTGTTAATATTAAGGCACCATTAAATGTTCTTACACATTACTTAAATGAAATGTTTTCAAGAAGAAACGTTTTTCCAAATACTACATTTGTTACTTTTAATATAATTCATATTAGATTTTTAAAAAGAAGTATGGAGTTAAAATTACTTTTTCCATTTTTTCTAAGAAAACTATTACCAATACGTATTTAACTTCGTATAACTCCTTTAAATTCTTCCCCCCCTTTTTCTTGGGAACAAATTCCTGAGATGAGGGAAAGTTTAGTTTATCGTATTTCAATTTTTTGCCAAATAAACTTTTTAAATTAAAAAAATACTTTTATCTAATGTCTACCATTTAACATTTCTTAAGACTGTATGTGGTAGTCAATATTAAAAGCACTGAAGATAAGCTATTTCAGATACTATCCAGTAGGAGGTCCCTCAAGAGTAATGATCCATAGAAGTATGCTATGGAAGTTAAGAAACACTGAAGAACTCTTCACTCAACCTGAGGCTGAGAGAGTGATCAGGAAATGCTTCTAGGTTTAGAACAGGTTTGTTGTTAAGTGCCGCCAGCTTCCAACTCATAGCGACCCTGTATAGGATTTCTGAAGAGTAGCTGGTGGGCAATCTTATTAACTAGGAGAGGTAGAAATCTCAGTTAAGGAATTGAATTCAAATCTACATGGCTTGAACATGGTAAAGTGGTACATAAAAATGAAACCAAGGAGGATTACCGGTAACAGCTGTAACAATAAGAATTGCATTTTATAAAGCCTCGTGGCAGTATGGAAGATGTACTTTTTAAAAAGTACAATAACTGCTTTGCTTATTAAAAAAATCTTGAACTGATTTAAAATTTGAAACAGCCTTGATGTTCAAAGTAGTCATAGGACATTTCAGAGGTAATCCAATATGGTTATCAAAAATCTGGACATCTTACCTAATGATAGGATCATTCCAGTAGGCTTATATTCTAAACTGTAATGTGAGACACATTTATAACCACTTGAAATATTGTATGTAAATCTAATAAAGAGGACTTCAACTGACTTGATTTTACTTAAGGTTTCTGTCTATCATAATTGATAGTGGCTTGTATTTGAAATGTACATTGTAAGAACTTTTATATATTAATTTCATTTAATATTGAAAACTTTATGCCTCCATGTCAGGGCCCAGAAATGGTAATATTTTCTATTTTACAAAAGACGATATGGCTATGATATAGTTAAATCAGAACAACAAAACTACTGCTTTGATAGATGTTGCCTGTTCTAAAGTGTGATTTTTTTTAACAAAAAGAATATTCAATTTAATATGAATTAAAGTAAGGATTTCTCTAAATTCCATTTTAATTATAGTATTTTTTTTGTTAATTAATGTCAAGTTAATTCCAACTCATAGGGACCCTGTATAGGATTTTTGAAGAGCAGTTGGTGGGTTTCAACCGCTGACCTCAGTTCTGTATTTTAGGTGTGAAATAACACACATTTGCCAAATCTGTTGAAACAAAGGTTCAGTGTACAAATTTTCAGGAAACTTTTTGTTATTGAAAAAAAAAAAGATCACTAATGCCATAGTACAAAATGTTTACTATACATGCAACAAACATAATACATCAAGGCAACAAAATACACATGAAAATATTTTGGCATATAATTCAGCATTCTTTGTGAACAATAAACACTACCATCTAAAATTAAAGATTGAGACATATTGTTTCCTCATGCAAACATTAACAAACAACTCTATAACTAGTGTTAAATAAACTGTAGAAATCTGAATTTCACAATAGCAGATGAATTTTATACCAAGAGCTCCAAGAAAGGAGGAAATGTCATGATCGTCAGATGCCATGTTGAAATCTGCATTAGCAGTACACACTAACTGTATACAATAGACAAATCTGAAAAAATTGATCAATTATGGAATCTTGAATTTCCTTTCTTATAAAAATGTATGGAAAAATTTAATGATTTTTTTTTAAAAACTAAATGTCAGCTGAGTGGACCATGAATGAATGACAAAGCATTTGAATATTCTGAGTTTTTAGGAAAGCAGCAATACCCAGGCCAGACTAAATTTTGAAGTTCTTTTTAACCATTTCTTCCCTCACTCCTCCTGAGGTCTTATCATCCTCATGTCTTATCTTCTACCCCCCATGCTGATTAAAAACTGCTCTGGATATCTCATTCACAGTAAGATGTATTAGGATTGATAATAGATTAAAGGTACTTTTTCTTCAAAATATATATTTGCATTTCTACAAGTCTTAAAGCCTTAAACTAAAGGAAGAAATCTGTGTATGTTCTGGCACATCTAGGATAACATTTTAAGGACTTTTAGGCATTCTTTGACCTTGAAATGGCATAATTTGGATTTATTAATTCCAGATTATGACACTAACCTGTAAATATTACAGGCAATCACCACAGTCCTACATTTACAACACAAAGTGAATGTGACAAGTTCAGAGCTCTTCTTCTCAGTAAGTTGTTTTGGGAGGAACATTCTTTCTGTATGTCAGAGCTACTACGCTTGAATGTAATATTGTATTAACAAAAATACCATTGGAAGTCCTTTATAAATATTGTAGCCTCTTCATGTAAACAATGTATAAAACTTCTTTGGCACAACTAAACATGTTTTCCTCATATTCTCTAGAAAATATACTAAATACGTTTCCTATCAATATGGTTGAATTTTTAGGGACAAATGATTATTTGCAGTTGTTGCAAAAATTGTGAAGAAGATAAAATAAGGATCATACATCTTTTTTAAGAAGAAAATCAGTTACTGCTGGAAGTGTTAGGAATTTTTAGTATTAAATTTAAAATGACACTATGGCATGATTAATGATAGAGGCTATAAAATATACACATTAAAATTCACTGTTGCAAAGGGGAGAAAAAATTACATGTCTCACAAACATTTATTGTTAAGTATGATGATTACCTACTGACCTTTATCTAAGTTTCTCAAATCCTTAATTTGAAATTTTGATAAAATACTTTTTCAACATGTTTTCTACATCTTTATATTTCCAACTGTTGAGGCATACTTGATCATATTTTAAAATTAATAACCTTTTAAGATAAAATTTTGGGAAAACAAAGATTTTAAGTGTATCTAAATGGCCTAAAATACTGTAAAATACTTTCTCTGTGGCCTTAATAAATTAGTAATAGCCTAAAAATGCCACATTCCTACAAATTTATAAAATGTTAAGTGTAATGTAAATTTGATACCAAATGATAAACGTTAAAGGAAAACTAAAAGCATAGTTGAGGACCTTCATCTGGAGAAATAATCAAAACCCTGGAAGAAATTAATGAAACAAGAAAATGTGTAAGTCATTTTTCTGTGGAAAATGTCATTGAATAGAGTAAGAAAATACCAGTCTCTGGTGACTAAAGATACATTTAAGCAAATAAGTGAAAATCAGTTGAATAATAAAACATACAGTTTGTGATAGATTATTAATTTCAAGGATCTTTAGACCTTTTGCTTATGCCTATTCATTTTTAACATTTCCCTAGTGACATTCTTTAGTAACAAAGATGAGAATTTTTAATATGAAAAATGGTGGGGTCATTGGTTTTCACTCATAAGTTTACATAGAGTAGACCGAACTCTGTAATTTAGATAGAATTCCAGATGTGCCAGAACAATATAAAACTTCAAAGGTCTTCTCAGCACTCAAACATATAAACTGAACATGTACAACATAAAAACATCTTGCTTTCACATAAAAATTTTTCAGGATGGAGTTAAGCCTGGACTTGTCATCTCTGCTGTAGGGCTTGCAAGGTAGTCATTAGATTTTAGACTTGTTAGTGACTTGTAACTTGCCACTGATGTTAGAGAGCCACAGAGACCAAGTAATGAAGGAGTGTCTTCTTTACCTGAAAATTGGGATAAAATAACTATCATTAATTGCCCTTGAAGAATGATACCAAAATTAGGCCATAAAACCATAAGAAACTCAAATTTTATAAAATATAGCAAATATATTGCTATGAAAACACCAAGATACCTATTGTTTGACCTCTGAAATGTTTCAAAGTCACTCTAAAAACAATATAGGGCATTATTCGTTGTTTTTATAAAAGTTTTAGATATGGATGTTTGGAACTCCATGTTTTAAGAGTAAAACTAAAAAGTTACCTAGTTTGTGGGGGATACGTGAATGTTCAGTCAATAAAGGATAATGAAAAACTGTACGTGAAATTAACAGTAATACTGCCAAGGCCTCAGAAATACCAGGGAATCCAGAGTTAGGTAAAGTAATGAATGCACAGGAAGCATGTTGAGCTTGGCCATATTACACTGCCTCAATTCAATAGAAGGGCTTGATGTTGGGAAACTTTTTCCATTTATTGAACAATAAGGAGCTCTGGTAGCGTAGTGGTTACGAATCAGGCTGCAAACCTTAAGGTCAGCGGTTCGAAATTACCAGCTGCTCCGCGGGAGAAAGATGAGGCTTTCTACTCCCGTAAAGATTTACACCCTCGGAAACCCTGTACAGGGTCGCTATGGGTCTGCACCGACTTGACGGCACATAACAACAACTCAAGCACCTACTAAGTGACACTGTTGGATAAACACTGTATTGCTAATTACAAGGTTGATGGTTCAAATCCAGCAGCCGCTCCTTGTAAACCCTAGACAGGGTTGCTGTGAGTTGGAACTGACTTGACAGCATGTAACAAAAAACAACAGCTATGCATTAAGAACTTTAAGTGCTCTACTTCAATACCATTCAAGAGGAATGGTAGACGGTCTATTTCTGAAACTTCATAGCTGAGTTAATTTTAAACCCAGAGTGCACAAATACCAGCTATGAGTGGCTGGCCTATGACTGAAAGCTAAGTTTTTGACATTAGCAGATTTTCACAGTAGATGGAAAGCATAGTTATAGAAGTGTAAGTTGAACCAGACAGATGTTTCTAAACATACATTGTTTCCCATAGTCCTTTGTACTTTCCCACCTTGTCATACTATATGGTAGTGGTTTTTAGTTATGTTCTTTATTCCCAACACACTGTAGATGCAAATTAATTATATAATTAATGAATGGATTATTCCGTGTAAACGCAGTAGAACTCAAGATTGTTGTTAAGTGTTGTTGAATCGGTTCTGACCCATAGTGGCCCTCTATAGGGTTTCCAAGAAGCCACGGGTGAGCTTGAACCGCCAACCTTGCAATTGCAAAATGGCTTTGCAGTCTGGCGCATTAACTCACAGTGCCACACCAGGACTCTGGAACTCAAGATAGCATCTGGGATTTCTTTAACTTTGTGACCATTTGAGTCCATTCTTTCCTTTGTAAAATAGGAACAAATATCAAAATAAGATTAACTGCTAAATCCATAGTTTTACTGGTAGGTAAAAACTGGAAGATACAGTGTTTACAAAACGACAGAGCAGGAATAGTTTTAAACTATTTTTAAAATAGTTTTAAAACATTCAGATTTAAGATGTTTATCATGTTCTGTCAGGACCCAAAAATTATAGATATCATTAGCATCCTTCTTTTAATGTTTAAGCTGAGAGACTCTTCTCAGGTCAAAATTATAATATATATATATATATATATATACACACACACACATTATTTCTAAAGTTACATTCAGACTTCAACTGTTTATCATGTTATGCCAGAGGCAAAAGGTATAGATGTTCTAATCACCTTTTGTAACCCTGGAGTTCTGATAAATGCTCCAAACACTTGACTGCTTTAGATAGCCTCTCCCAATTCTTCATTACAGACCCCACAACCATAGTCTTTTAAAGCTATTTACTGCTAATCACATGTATTTTAAAATAGATTACAAAATTATAAGATTAAACAGATTACAAAAGACTATCAACAATTCAAGTATTTAGCATAGTTACACAACAGAGACTGTTGTTGTTGTCATGTGCCATGGAGTCGGTTCCGACTCATAGCGACCCTATACAGGGTTTCCGAGGCTCTAAATCTTTATGGGAGCAGAAAGCCTCATCTTTCTCCCGTGGAACAGCTGATAGTTTCGAACTGCTGATTTTGAGATTCGCAACCACTACGCTACCAGAGCTCCTTACAATAGAGACTATATAGCTATAAAACATTAGAGAAAGGAACAGCACTGTATACTGTAAGGTAGTGATTTCCAGGATATACTGTTAAGTGCAAAAGAATAGTGGGGGCGGGGAGCCTAATGAGATAAACTTTAAGCACAGAATTTGACTGTAATTCCTTACAGGGGTATAATCTCAAGATAAAAACAATTAATTGCAAAGAAATATTAGGCTATTTTAATGAAATATTATTTTGAAACCAGTATGTTTAGTGGAATAAATCAAAGAAATAATTATATCTGTATAATTGTACCCATTGCTCTTAAACTGATTACAACTCATATAATCCTCTATGGAAGCAGAAAGCCTCATCATTCTCACATAGAATGGCTGGTGGGTTTGAACTGCTGACATTACGGTTAGCAGTCCAATGCTTATCCTACAGTGTCACCAGAGTTTTTCATAAGAAAAAAAATATAAAATCAAATAAGTAAAAATCCTGGATCTTAGATTTTAATTATAACACATCAGAATAAATTTATAATTTTCTATAGAAAAAGATTATTAGCGCTAGCCACTGAAAAGACCTAGAAACAATGACTAATTCAATAGCAATAAGCATTCCTAAAGTCCACACTGTGGTCTCCATAAACACTTCTATTATTAAGACAGAACTTGGAGAAACAACGGGTCCTAGGTATGGAACATGAGAGGCACCAAAATAATCCAGAATATTGTGCTGCCAAAAAGTTACGAAGCTATTAACAAATTACTTGGGTGTCAAATGGAGGCAAGAGCCATTCTTAGGGGCTCTCACTGGCCAAACAGGACAGTGACCTTCTGAAGAGATGCATAAGTGGAGGCACTTCAATGTAAATTACCTATCAAGTAATATAAAACCAGAACTACCAGTGCCATTGAGTCAATTCCAACACATAGCAATGCCATGTATACAGACTAGCTCCATAGGTTGTAATCTTTATAGAAGCAAATTGCCAGGTCTATCTTCCACAGAGCTGCTGGTGTCTTCAAATTGCTAGCCTTTAGAAAGCTAGGAGCAGACTGCAAACTGCTTACAGCACCCAAACTCTTAACAGGTAATATCAAATGTTACACGTCCTAAGTGTAATAATGATAAAACTTTTTAAGAGAATGTCTTTATATTTAGGAGATACATGCCAACGTATTACGAGGTGAAATACCATGATGCCTACAACTTGCAATTTACTTTCAAATAGTTGAAGAAAAAAGAAAAAGTAGACTAGTAAGGATAAATGGTGGAAGCATGTGCAAACAAGATAGACAGCAAAATACATCGTATGTGGTAAAATATCAGCAAGTGAATCTAGGTGAAGGATATATAGGTGCATCTTGTTCTTCAACTTGTCTGTATGTTTGAAATCATGTAAAATAAAAGGTTGGGGTGGGGGAAGTGACAAGGCATTTACCAATCCAGTTGCACTCCAGGAAACTTTAGAATGCCCTAATTTCACAAATTATCTCCCTGACTTTTCCTCCCAAGTTTTAGGTGGTATAGTGTATATCTTTGAGTCCATTGGTGGTGCACATAGTTAAGCAGTTGGCTGCTAAATGAAAGGTCCATCTAGCGGCACCTCAGAAGAAATACCTGGTGATTTACTGCCAAGAAATCAGCCACTTATAGTCATAAAGAGCACAACTGTACTCTGACACAAACAGCATCACCAACAGAACCAACTCATGGCAACAGTATTATTATTTATGTAACTGGATATCATCACTATTTTACTGAAGGCAGCTGCTGGGGTTGTTTGTTTACCTTACAATGTTTTTTGAGAAGTTTCTGCTACCTTTGTTTCCTGAGTAGGTTCTGAATTAACTGAAGCCATTATAGGGGTCTTCCTTGCATCAGTCCTTTAAGTATTCTCCAGACAGCGCAGAATAAACAAACACAATTTGTGAATGGGGTCTGCTATGTTCCTTTGAAACCAATGGATTGTATTAATATGTTTCATGGTTGTGACAGCTGTTTTATTTTTTACAATTATCTGTTCATCGGCCATTATCTCAAAGTAAGAAGTTTAATATTAAAAAGGAGGGTACCTAGATAAATGTCTTTAAAATGTATTAAGTATCTAGGGAAAAGTACAGAATGCACAGAAGAAACTAAGTGAAAATTACTGAGCAAAACAATCATATGCATATGTATATTTATACGTCTGCAGCATAAACTACTGGATTTGTGATTGATGCATTAGAAAGTAAAAGCATACATGGTGTTGGTGTTGGTTCTGTGCCGTGAGTCATAGTTAGTTCCAACTAGTAGTGACCCTGCATAGGTCTGTCTATAAATCTCTACAGGGGCAGAAAGCCTCATCTTTCTCCCAAGGAACAGTTGGTAGACCTTGAGGTTAGCAGCCCGACTCTATACTACCAGAGCTCCTAAAAGAATATGTAGCACTGCTAATTCTAAATTATTGAAAACTGACAAAGTATTTCCATCTGCTTGATTCTACGAGTGTCTCAGGAATATGTTACAGTTTTCCTCATAAAAGTAAATTTAATAAGGAAATGTTTACACTATTTGTATAATCTCTGGTTATTGCTTTTGCATGTGAAGGCATACACAGTAACTTCACTACTTTGCAGGAATACTTTGTCTATTAGTTTCATTATTTGTTCCTTAGTGTTTTCCAAAGATAGAGATACTTTGTCATCTGCATATTTAGTTGTACTACTTATCCTTTGTTCATATCTTTATGTGCATGTTCTTCTCCAATTGTATTAACGAATCCTTCAAGTATAAGTAGTGGTGAACACCTTGTTCTTGATCATAGTATTTCTCCATTAAGTTAGATGTTGG